TGAATTAAGAAACATTAAAACATGATGACAGCCGCAGTAACACTTATATGGGGTATAAAAGATACTGTTTTATCAGCTCTCGTCGCTCGCTTTTTGGGTCTTTACTTAGACCTCTTAGTTCACGTTAGTTAAGTGTAACTAGTATTATTCTAGACATAGAATTAGTTTACCATCAGATTGTTTGTGTGCATTAGCGGCAATCTGATCACCGCTTTGTGCGAGTCATACATTCATTGTAAATTTACACTTCATTTTCAAACATCTTAATGTAAGTCTTATGAATATTCCTTATATTTAATAAATGTCTTTTAAACTTATAAATAGTATTAATATTATTGCTATATATTTGTATATTGAATGTGTGCCCAGAGTGGCCACATATTAAGTCGGGGGTTACCGATTATTGCTATTTTAATAGTACGAATGCTATGATCAGACCAACTAAAAGGTTGAAGTGTTAAGTCAAATAACTTAACACATATTCAATAATAAGTATTAATATTGTTTGTAATGTATTGTTATGTCATGTCTTGTCTTGTACTTTAATTATAATTGATGTTATGGCCTACGAAGGTTTGACCATATTGAATGACCAACAAGTTTAATGTTTGATGTTTTAAACTAGGTCCACGGCTGTCCTGTATAATAGCCGCTAGTGGTAATGTTGTAGCACCACTATTGAATAGCTGACACTCTATTTCTTATATTCCTTAATCCTAAAATTTATCTATTTAATTATATTAGTATTTATTATCGAGCTATAGTGTAATAACTCACATAGTTCCTAATGTAATTAACAAACTTATTCTTATTCCCTAATATTATATTGAGTTTCACTTGAACTCAAAGTGTAAATAGTTTAAGGCAAAGCCTTATATAATGAGAGAGTGTTTTAGCGGAAAGTCTGATCAATCCTAGCAGTAGACACCCGAGTGGACACGACACGCGACTGTTGGCCAGTTGCGGGCAATCAGATAAGTCAATCGAGTTAACCCCTGACAGTAGGATTGCTAATAATAGCCGAATGCAATCGCGCCATTGTATAAATATCCTAAAGCGGGTAACTTCCCGCGGCCCGCCGCCGTTTTGTCATTGCAGTCGGCCAGTCTGGCCATGTTTTAACTTTGCATTGGAGAGATTGGTTGGTGATTACGGGGTTGTATTAGATTAATATAAACAGAACTAACAACGGGATTCTGTATGTAAACCTATGGTAATACATTACTATACAAATACCCGGTTCTCGGGAAATCTACCCCGCGGGCCTTAAAATTAAACTAACTAAAATTGATTCTTATAATGTATCTAACACATTTAAATGGTTTTAAACAGGAATTAACAATAGCGTCATTTATTGTGTCTAAATCACATAACCATAATATTCATAGAAATACCGAAACATTCGACTTAAATACTTAAATTACGAGAAATCTTTCCCGCGGGCCCTAAAATTTAAACAGCCTAATTTGATCATTAAGGTATAAGTAATTTTATTATAATTATTAAATCCAGAATTAACAATAGCATCATGGTCATTTTTAAGAATATTATAAAATTGGAGTAGATTTATATTAAATAGGTTTCTATACATGACAATATACATTAAATGACTCAAACGCTATTATAATGTTGTCTTTTTGGGCCATACTTAACAAAATGTTATTTAAAATTATTATATTATTGCATAATTTCATTATGACTACTTTTAATTAATTTCTTATATATTTAATCTCAATTGTGAAAGTATTTCTTCATTTTCTGTCAACATTTTCATGAGAAATGTGGAAAAACATATCACAACATATGCAATGTGTTATAATCGAAGCATGTATTATGCTATACAAGCTTAGAAACTTCCCTGTTATAATCAAAATTTGTTATAATTGAAAGTGTTATAATCGAACACATTTAACATTACAGTATCCATAGGGTTTGCCCGGGTTCACAAAACTTTATGTTAAAACCAAATTCTGTTATAATCGCAGCTGTTAAAACCAAATGTCTACTGTATTTAAATTTTATCTTATGTTTTAATACACACTATTAATTATCATATTTGTATGTGTTATGTGACAATCACTGGGGGCGCTGTTTGGCTACACAACAATATCATACTATTAGCAAACGCCTAACAATTAGTGCCCACGGTAGTTAACAATTAATAAAAATTAAAATAAACATAATAAATTATCTTGACTCAATTGAAATGTCCGATAAAATAATAGATTAAATAATTAAATTAAATGTTATTTATTAAATAAATATGCTAAATTAATTTTACTTTTGTTATTATAATAAATATAATACTTATGATTAGGGTTGCCAACTGTCTACTATGAAGTGCTCCACAATTTAAGTTATGTGTTCAAACTATAAACTAAATGGCATATAGTAGACATAGGCTACTGATTTATTTCCAAAATCAATATAATGAGATTTTTAAAATGTTTAAAAAATAAAGTTGCAAATGAAATGAAAAATGTTGAGAAATAATACAAAAGTAGTAAAATACTATTAATATAACATAAAAAATAATAAAATTAATAAATGAAATTATTTATTACAATACGAATAACATTATTTAATTCCAACACAATTACATCATTTAGAAATTTTTAACCTTCACAATGCTTGTATTTATGTATTAAATACATACATGTGTATTAACTATTCAACATCTACATAATATATAAATTATATCTATTATTTTTAAATATTAAAACTATAGTTGGAATGTTGCAACAGTGTGAATATACAGTAACTGTAATGAATTTAAGTTCAGTATTACGCACATTATAATTGATTAACTGGTGCATGCACTCACACACACAAACACCTATCAATTATACATTGTATCTTGTTGCAATTATAATAACATAATTAACAATACACGCGTGACGGGTAGAGTGACCAACTCAAAACTTAAAAAATCGGGATTTTAAGTAAAAAAATTGCTATAAACATGGGGATAGTAACATTTATATATAATATCGGGATATTTTTTGGAATTTGTGTATTCGTGTAGTGTAGTTCCATATTGTGTCATTATAACACTTTATGACTAATGTGTTAGACTAATCAGTCATAAAGTATTATATCTCTATTTTAACATATAAAAATTAACTTAAGGAAAAATAGTAAACAGAAATAATAATTAATATTTTTTTAATGAAATGTAGAATTGAATGTTTAAATAACAAAAATGTTGTATATTATCAAATTTAATGTTGTAAAATTTGATCGGGATCTTCTATGGTCAAAATGTGTAAAATCGGGATTATCCCGATGAAATCGGGATGGTTGGTCACTCTAGTGACGGGTGAATATTAAGTAGTATGTTTTATATAAGTTATGTCATATTCGCTTTGTTGAATTTTGCAATACATATACCGCAGATACAGTAAATGTAAAGTTCACATATGAATCGTACACTATGTATGTAATATATAAACTATATGATAAGTACAATAGTTATATTTAATTATATTAGTATTGTTTTTAATAATTTTTAATTTTTTTTAATAAAACGCTTTTTCTCTCTCGTGTTCCACATTAAGTTATTAAAATATAACATAATATCTAAAATATTATCTAGATAACTAAGTATTTTTGTGTAAACCTAAATATTTATTAAATAATAATTTACATTTATGACATTTAATTAGTTTTAAAACAACCAAATACTTTATTTTCTCAAATATAGACTAAATACTTTAAATGTAATATTAAATATATATTTACATAAGTTTTTCTTTGTAAATTATTTAAATTAGATTGATATATACTGTAACAAAAGTTGTATATTATGCAATTTTTAAAATATAAGTAATTTTGTGCAAAAATGTTATTCATGGCATTAAATATTAAATAAATATTTATTTCATAATAATTATTATTAATTGAGTATAATAAATTTTTTATAAACCAGAAATGAAATTTATAATTGATCTTTAAATAAAATGTGTTTTTTAATGTTAGATAATCGATAGTGATTTAGTCATGCTAAAACAACTGGCATGTATAATTTTATATAATTTTGTATTATTTATTAAAACAATATAATACAATAAATACATATTCATAAACTAACCAGTTAAATCAATTAATCTTGCCTAGCTTTCAGGTAACCCGGATTAACCATTATTATTAATGATGTATACATATGGTATATTTATTATACAGTAAATTCTCGATTTAATATTTATATTGAATAAAAAAATTTTAAAAATTTATATATTTAAAATTACATGTTTACATAAACTTAATATTTAATTAATTTTTTAATAAAATGTAAAACATATATTAACCCAATATATTATTAGTTTGAAATTGATATGATAATAATTCAAACACTGTAACATTAAAATATTTACTAATTAAAGTTAATTCACTAAGACTATTACTAAAATAAGTTTTTACTTAATTGTTATTATTGTGTTACATAAAAATGTAATATTAAAAACAAATGCCATTACTTTGTTATAAATATTTTTAATTTTTATGAGTGATTGAAAAAATTTAATGCATATAAATGATAATAATTAAAATATAATTGTTATATAAAAAATTTAAGAATTAGTCCTTGCTGTAAAGCTGTGACAAACACCCAATATCCATTAATACCATATTAAATTATATAATAATAAGTTTGAATGTACATTTTTAAATAATAATGTATATTGTTTTATATAATTATTTTTTGACAAAACTAATGATTCGCTTATTTAGAGGATTAACTGTACAAATAAAACTTTTATTTATAAAGTTGACTGACAATTAATTAATGGCTATATTGCAAATGTCGCAAATTTTAAATTAATCAATATCAAACTATGATAATTTTTAAGGTATATAAGGAGCTATTAAATAGTTACCTAAATTAACAGTTTTTGTTAAATCAGTAGATTAACAAACATTAATCGCTACAACAACAAATAACTAAAATGTTAATTAACAATACATTTTCAAATGTAACAGTAGTGTTACTGTATTTATCAGGTACGGCGTTCGGTCTATGGAAGCACTCATGCGGCGAATCAAGTGTCAACCGCATAGCAAATGGAGACTCTACGGCAACGGGGGAATGGCCCTGGGTGGTTAAATTGAAATTTTGCAACATGGAAAGTTGTTCTAACTGTGGTGGATCACTGATTAGCGATCAGTGGGTACTAACAGCGGCCCATTGTACTACTACTACTGACAAATACATTAAGGCCATATTTGGTGGTGACGACTTAACAACTCAAAGAAATATTACAGTTTACCCAACTCAGGTTAGTAGTATTAATGATTGGATTAGTTTTATAAATACTTTATAATAAAAACCATATAATAATGAGATAATATTTTTTAAATTACATTAAAATATTTGAATATTAGCTATTCAGAATTTGAATTATAAAACATACTTTTAATATTAATTTGGTATTCAATAAGCATATTTTATTTGACAAATGATAAAATACTTCATTATATTTTTTAGTTCAACATAACATTAAATAACTAAATATTTACTTATTTTAAGGCAAATAGGTATTTATTAAATATTATATTAATTTTAATTAAATTTAGCAAAACATTTACACTCACGAGAAATACAACGAAGATAATAAAAGTATACACAATGATATCGCACTTATCAAGTTAGACGACAAGCTAGATCTCAATATCAATATTCAGCCGATATGTTTATCAAGTAATATAATATTACCTGACAACCCTACATGCGTGGCCATTGGTTGGGGTCGAACAGAAAGCGATAAACCGTCAAAAACACTGCAAAAAGTCAAACTTCCAATGGTGCAAAATAAAGTGTGCTCCACTTTATAGAAATGTGAGTATTTCATAATTAATATGTTACAATTTCTATTCATTTATGATATTTTATGTAATTTTAATTATTATAAAAATATGATTTATAAAATCTTTCACCCAATTATTTTCCGACCTATTTATAAATTAATTTTATTTTGTAATTTATTATAATTGTATGTACACCTAATATTATATTTATATAAATAATCATTATTATTGCTTATTTTTGATCTAGCTTTTGATCCCAGTATTCAATTGTGCGCAAAGAATACCGAGCGAGCTAATGCCGATGTATGTAAGGGTGACAGTGGTGGACCTTTAAGTTGTCAAATGGGCCAAGGTACTTGGGTGCAAACTGGTATTGCCTCATATGTGGACGGATCGCGTGATTGTGGAATGGCAAGAAAACCGAGCGTATTTACACGCGTCTCCGCCTATATTGATTGGATTGATGCAATTACTGCCGAACCAAAATTATTTCGTGACAAAAATAATGGAGGTTTTGATTATAGCAATTAAAATTAAGTTTGTCTATTAATATTGGATCTTGATACTAATTATTTGTTTTAATAAAGCATTAGAAAATAAATATAATGATTTTAATTTTGTTTTTAATGATCGTAAAGCAATTCAACGTAATTCAATGTAAAGTAATTACATATTGTTAACTACTCATTAACAGTTAGTAGCTAACTCATTAACTACTATTATATAATATTATAAATGTTTTAAAAGTTTGGTGTTATTACATGATTATTAATTTGTTTATTTCAAATCTACTTATAATTATTACATTAATTGTTTAGTTTTTATCAAAAATTAATTGGGCGATTTAAATTATTTTGTGTAATGCGTACGTTATTAAAATATGTAATGTTAAATATAATTATCTTGTACAACATTAGTGCAATTATTAAAAGTTCACTATAATTAAGAATGTACTAAATAATACATATGCAATATCTTTAGATATAGCAATACGAATAATTAAATTATATATTTTCTTTTTCGTTATTATAAAACTTTGACATTAGGTTTATCCAACCATAACCCCCATCCCTCCCTATAACAAACAGAGTAAGTTGTGAATATGGGTCTCGCAAATCAACTATTTTCTCAATAAATAGTCACGTGATCATAAAATTTTTAAATGTCAAAAAATTGCCCGACGTGGATTTATACATGTGTGAAATGACAATACTGTCACTCTAACAGTTCCCGAGGAATCGCCGAATAAAGTATGGCAAATTTTTTGGAAACCCCTTATATTATAGTTATTTTCATAGGCTGAACATTTAAATACGTGAAGCATAACGCTGTAATAAATGTCATAATTTAATAATTTTAAACATAAAATATTAAACTTAAATAGGTTGATTTAGTATACGCTGTAAATACGCTATAAATAATATAATTGGTAATAATAATAATATTTAATTAACCTTTTATTATAATGTAGTCCAATGGATGATAATAGTGATACAGCAATTGAGTTAAAATAACCAGTATCATTTTTCTCCGGTACATCCATATACTCTTTCTATTGAATGAGATTAAATCTAACAAATATATTGTTATATTAAATTTTAAAAATTAATTAATTACCTCGTCATAAAATGTCATAAAATTAAACATTTTGTCAATACTACTGGTTTGTAATTCACCTGTGTCAATAAATGTTTGACAATCAACAAATGTCATGTTCACTTTATAAACAAATGTGTGCCATAAATCTAACGTGTGTGATTTAATAAATTCATATGGACTGCCTAAATGTGTTAAAATATAGTGAAAGTCCATGATTACACTATTTTAAAATAAGAATATAAATATTGAATATATAATATTTTGAATAATAAAATAAAATGATGCATAAATTAATTGCAAATAATATAAATATTTGACCTATTGTACTAAATGTAGTTTAGTATATTTTAGCATATTTAAATCTAATTTAGTATATTTATGTTTTTTAAATAAAAAACAATTCAAATTTTCAACACCAATATTAATAACTGTTTTTTTTGTCTTATCATAAAAATATAAATACTGGTAATTATATTTCTAACATGAATTAAAATAATGTCATAATTACAAAATAATTAGTTATTGATTTGCACCAACAATTAAAAGTAAATTTCAATATTATATAATAATAATCAAATAATTAATAGTAAATTTAATAATATCAAAAAATATTATTTTCTGATCTAAAATGAAATAACAATTATCTCTCATAGAATATTCCACTACTATTAAAAAAATTAAAAATACAAATTAATTTTGTTTCAGGGTATTAATTAAATATAATAATTAAATAATTAGCAAAATTAAATAATTAATTCTATACTATAGTAAATCTTAAACACAACCATTTGACAAACTATTTAATCCATATAAAAAATACAATAAATTATTTAACATTAAATATACATTGTATAATTAATTAAAATGAAAAGGATCAAAATCATTGGAAAATATATCGGCTCTGGGACTATCTTGTTCATCGGCCGTTGCCCTAGATGAACCGGCGTATACTTTATTACCACCAGCCCAGGTATTATCGGTTTTGGCTGCCCTATTATCCAGGCTATAATCAAACTGGGACCTGAAATGATCATATTCATGGTGCGGTTCATAATCATGTTGCCTAGGATGGCCATAATTATATTCATGTTGACCATGGTCCCTGTATTCATCGTAATCGTGCCTGCGTCCTTGACCGAAATCATATTTGTATTCAGCATAATGGTTGTTGGCTTGAACATCACCAGGGCTTTCATGAGCAGCGTAGTTTTCCGGGTAATATTGTTGACTTGAGATCATGGTAGCGAGATTACTGATAACAATCAAATATGTTATAATTAGGGTGACCAGAACGTGTTTTTTTTATGGGTTTTGTCCTTTTTTCGACCTCTCAAAACAGAGTCCTTTCGAGTAGTCGGAAAGGACTATACTTTGTCCTTTTTTTTGAGTTTTATTAATTTCAATATAAAAAGACTAATATGTTGTAAAATATGGGGAATCTCATTGATTGCTATGTACTGTTGAGCTGTAAAGTTTTGACATTACAGCACACAAACACTAAATAATATTAATAAAGCAGAAATCTCTATTTTAAAATGTTGTAGTTGTTAACAGAAAACTATTATAAAAATCAAAGAATATATTTTCAATCCCTTTGGCCTAAACGATGTAATTTATTTTGTTTGTTAAAAGTGTTTTCATTTAAATACTCATTTAAAATGTGTGACAAAACAACGGAAGAAAGTATAGGGATAATGATTTTTTGCGTCCTTTTTTAATGACTATTTTTAATCAGTCGTCCTTTTTTAAGAGGATTTTTGGTGGTCACCCTAGTTATAATTGTTAAACGCTTATTTAACATAGCTTGTTAAATAAGATTAGTGTAAATTGCTTTAAAGGGATTTTGTAAATATACCACTATCTGATCGGGTGTTGGGCTCCAGTGAGCGAACAATTCAAACCCTGGCTCAGTGTCGTCATAGTCTAGAATGAGAGAGAGAGAGAGAGAGAGAGAGAGAGA